ATTATCCCTAACTCCAAAATTTAGGATCCCTCCTACAATAACTCCACAAAATAAGAAAATCATATTTAAATTCAAAATACAAATTTATTAAAAATAAGTTTAAAATTCAAAAATCACTCAAACCTTATTATTCTTATTGCCATCCAATCATCCAAATTTCTTGCCTCCCAATTTTGGTCATTAGAAATTCAATTGATGGGGTCTGTACTTGTGGAATTGTGATGACTTGGTCTTCCGATCCAACATAGCAATATAAAAAATTCTTTCAACAAGATCATCCTAGACCACGACTCCACATTTAGGCTAATTTGTTTCTATAAATGAGAATTATTTTTTTTTTTCTTTTTTGCCTCTTGTCCTTGTTCTTTTTGCTTTTCCTAGTAGCCTTGGGTTTCTTTTTTTTTTTTTTTTTTGATAGTTCATCCTTTTGGAACAAATGTGGATCGACAATTAAGATGACTCTTTATATGCCTTTATCAAGAAGAGAGCTCCTGACCCTCCCTCAGAACCTACTGATTTGCTGCTCTTCTCCATATTTTGTGAAGGTGAGACAATAAATCAACAAACTCTCTATTTTTTTTCTCCTTTAAGCACATTTTTTTTTCCTTCTTTTAGAGAAGACAAATCCCTATCTCACAGATATAGACTACCCAAATTACATAACAAGCATTTAATAGTATAACTTCGTAGACCAACTCATCAATAAGATCTTTAGAGAAAGCAAACAAAGAGTACATTATCAAATGACTCGACAAATTTTACTTCTCTGAAATCAACTCAAATGATAGGTCTTTGAATGTTAAGTAGTGACTAAACCCAATCTCTCAACCAAAGCTACAAAGATAAGATTCTTTTAATGACCTAAATCTAAAATGGCATCGAAGATGGTAGATTTTTGTTGAAGCTTGTAGTGGAATAAATTTCTACTTATTTTAAAGTGAGAAGTCGAAGGAATCATTTTTATCTTCTTGTCTTCCCATTTTGGTCTCTTTTATGGATATAAATTTCTACAATATTTATGCTTGTGCCAAATGTTTTTGCAATAGCTACTTGGTGGATTATGTCTTCCTCCACTGCTGCTAAACTTTAATCTTATCCTTCTTCTTTATAGTTCCAAGTTGAGATTTTTGTCAAATTGAAAGAGTCGTGTTTCTTTCCACAAGTGCTATCACTTTTGCACTAGCTTCAAGGACATCAACAACTATAAAAAAACTTCAATCATGTGTAAATATTCTCATAATGCCCTATTACATATTTCATGAATATATTTTTTTCATTCAACAAAATTTTTTAAGTTGATGTCGGCCATGTAAATTCCATCGTGATTTCTTATACATTTTGCTCATTATTTATTGAAGTGTATGATAAAGTTCCAAGAGAAGTGCATTAGAGAGTTCTAGAAAAAAAGATATTAATAATGGTTATATTCAAGTCATTAAGAACATGTATGCAAGAGCTATTACTAATGTTCAAACACAAGGTGATTTGACCAAGTATTTTCCTATTTCAGTTGGATTACATCAAGGATCAACTTTAAGCCCATATCTTTTTACTTTAATTATCGATGTTCTTACTAGACATTTGCAAGAGGATGTAACTTGGTGTATACTTTTTGCTAATCATATTTTCGTTGATAAGAATAGAGAGGGAGTTGATAAAAAGCTTGTATTATGGTCAACTTAGAGTCTAAAGGTTTTTGTTTGAGTAGATCTAAAACCAAATACATGCAGTGTAATTTTACTAGTAGTAGATCTGGTGGTGGGATTGTGATAGTGGGTGATCAAGTCATTAAAAAGAGTGCATGTTTAAGATAGCTTGGGTCTATTGTTCAATGCGATGATGAAATAAATGGGGATATTATTAGTAGAATTCAAGTTGGATGGTTGAAGTGGAGGAATGCATCAAGCTTGTTTTGTGATAGAAAAGTACCACTCAAACTTAAGAAAAAAATTTACAGAGATGAGGATGCTCAGGTTGATTAGTGTCATTACACATAGAGACAAAATCTGAAACGGGCATATATGTGAAAAGTTGGAGTAGCTCCAATAGAAGATAAGATTAGAAAGAGTCGTCTTAGGTTTGGTCACTTAAAACGTTAACATTCTGATGACCATAGAGAGTAGATGTATTCAGCCTATGTTAAGAAAGTTAGAGGTAAACCTAAAAAGACTTAGAAAGAAAGCATTAAAAAAATATCTTTTTATTACTAAACTTTTTAATACTATTTTGAAGACTAAAAAGATGTCAGATCAGTGGAGAATGAGTGTGTTAATTCCTATTTTTAAGAATAAAGGTGATGCACAGAAGTGTACAAATTATAGAGGAATTAAGTTAATGTGTCATACTTTAAAACTATGGGAGCGAGTTATGGAGCATAGGTTGAGGCGTGATACTAATGTTTCTCAAAATCAATTTGGATTCATGCTGGGTAGGTCTACTATGGAAGCCATACATTTATTGAGAGGTTTGATGGAGAAATATAGAGAGAATAAGGAGGATCTACATATGATATTTATTGATTTAGAGAAAGCATATGATAAAGTTCCAAGAGAAGTGTTATGGAGAGTTCTTGAAAAGAAAGGAGTTAATAATGCTTATATTCAAATCATTAAAGATATGTATGCAGGAGCTATTACTTGTGTTCAAACACAAGGTGG